AGAGAGAGAGAGAGAGAGACAGAGAGAAAGCTTGCAGCTCACAATCTGCCCTAAAAATTTCCTTGATTTGGAGCATCATTAAAATCACATTGAAGCGTTGCCACCCCTTTGGCACTTGATCTGTGCTGTCTATTTGAAGTTTTTGAATTTGAACCGTTAGATTATGAGCATATTCACAAATAATATTCTAAAAATGGAATAAAAGACTCCAGATGCCATATACCAATAGCACTTTTAAATAAGGGAGTATTAGCAAAAGTCCCAGCTACGCTGGGAGGATTGTGTTTATTTCTGATGTTTTAGTAATTTCAAAGAGTTGTAATTGTAATTGTAATTTTTAACATAATCATTTTGATAATATACATAGTTAAACATCTTTATATTTAAATATATTTATATTTAAAATCCCTTCTACAATTGGCTTTATCAGCAACACATATCATAACATAATAAATATAACTCATAACATTATATTACATTTAAAACTCTGTTTGTTGAGTGAATTTTTGGATCTTCTATAAATGGAATTGCTCAATGTGGGATCATATGGCCAGATGAGTCATTTAGAGATTAAGGTTTGGTAAATAATTTTTTCTTTTATTTAAAATCTATATAATTGATAAAAAAAATGTTTCATTCAGCTCTAAAATTTTTCCTCTTAATAAAATAAGTGTTATTTAATTACACTAAAATATAATTATATTAAAAATAAATATTTAAAATTCATTTAAACTACATACATCTAAAATATAAACATTGTTATAGAGTTTAGTTTTTAGATTGAAAGTTTTGGAATTGTATGATACTAAGTGAAAGATGTTACCTTTATGTGTTATATTTTATTTTAATAACTTTTAATATTTTACAATTATTTTATTATATTTTAATTATTTTATTATAAAAATTATATTTTATTTTACACTGGTAGCATCATGTACCTCATCATGTACACATCATGAAAAAACACCTTGAAATTTAAAAAAACACTAACATAATAACAGTAATAGGGTAAGTTTTTTAAGATTGGAGCCATTTACTATCTTTCTTTTGATATGTAAAATACCAAGACATAAAGTGTGCTGGATAAGACAGTTAGAGGTAATTACTTCTTGTTTAACACTAACAAAGCATTGTGTGATCACGCAGATCCTTTACGATAGAATTGTTATAGTGATATGGAATAAAGGGTGGAAGTAAGCATTAATTAGGAACAATTGTAGATTGGAATTGATGTACAGAATAGATTTAATAAATATAATTTTTGTTACATATAAATATGTGAATTAATAAAGAATTTTAAATATTAAACTTATAATGTTATCACTAATGTATAGTTTTAATACTGTATTATGATATTATCACTAAAAATATTATTACTGTAATATAAATATTATAAAATATATATAGTTTAATAATATAATTTGAATTTTGTACATAAACTAAATTTGTTTTCTAAAACTACAAGTCTATGATATAGATCATACCAGATATAACATGTCATATAGAGCAAAGTACAAAATAATTAACACTGTTGTTGCCACCATAGGCATCTATATAAATGTATAATCTTTTAAAGCTTTAGCTTCTTCCTTTCACAGAATATTAAGTTTTTGGATTTTCACTCATGCTGCCAAATGAAGATCTGGTCTGAAACTTCTAATATTATAATAAATTTGTCCATGTATTTTAAAATAATAGCCACCTACTGCAATCTCTTCGATGTTTGCACCCATTGATGCAAATGCTAATGCACTATTATAATTTCGTATTAAATATTTAAAATCTCCTTGCTGTGGTGTTTCTTCCAGCAGTTTTTGGATGAATTGAGGAAAAGGATGTGAATTTTTAATTGATATTCTCCCATCATAACAACAGTTGAAAACACTTTCCATCATAAAAAAAAGGGCCTTACAATATATGCATTGTTTTTCCATCTTACCAAGATAATGTTGCTCACATTTTCCATTTTCATTCTCTGACATTAAACCCATGTATTTCTTTCGTCTCACTGCCCTACAAGCAGTAGTTGCAGGAATACAGGAAATCATGTGACAGAAATTGCCAGTTGACATAACATCTCCAATTTCACATATTCTGCAAGCATTGTTTTTGCCCATATTAGTTTCCAAACAAATCTCCATGTTAGTGGTAAAAGGTATGAGTTCTTGATTTCGAGTAGCATTTGCTACAATTACATCCCCTTCTAAAATGGCATCCACAGTTTTCCGCTTTCTTTTGCGGCCCATTTCCAGCTAGTTATTTCAATTTGTATAATAGGCTAGTAGATTTCAGCAAAGTAGAATAGCTTTGGTAGGTGTTAGTTCTGTTTAGATCATCATGCAACAATGCTGTTTCTTATTGATAAGTTTATTTTGGTTTTTTTTTCTGTTTTGTATTCAAGCAAACATAGCAAATAGCACAATAGAATAGAGATTCTTGTATGTGCAGGTCACTCTTCTGAACTGTTTTCTGCCTGCATGTTTCCTTTTGAATGTTTTAAGCGTTTTTAGGATCGTGATCTGGAACGACATATAGACATTTTGTTTTTTACCTAAAACCTTTACGAGAGAGAGAAAAACACAATAAAATCAAACACGGAAATCATTTCTATGCCCTGAGTTAATGTACAGATATCATGTACTGAATCAAACCAAGCTCATGGCTTCAAAATTGTGTCTATAAACACGTACATACACAACAGTTTATTTAATGCTGTCTTATTCCTTCAGAAATGGCTTTTTTAAAAACAGTTCATGGCTTTGTATGTAAGAAAGTAGAGTAGGCTGCCATGTAGAGCTCCAATCCTTGTTCTCCACCACCTCAGCTGCCATGTACTTTGCTGTTGTGATATCTCCTAAAGGTGCTGATCACCACTTTGTTGCGCATGTTTAGCTTGGAAAGAATGTTGTTGAGCTTTAGATCCTGGACCAATCTTCTCGCAAATATGCTATATTTAAAAGACCAAATAATTATGGAATTAAGAAAGGAAGGCAATATTTCCACCAACGAATGTAACCACTCGAGGAAAAATGCCCATGCCCTGTCCAAAAGGAGACTCGGACAACACCACAAAGTCGGCAAACTTTCCTTGCGTCAGCAACCCAACGAAATCCTCCAATGCTATATTTTTGTAATGGAGGCAAAATGCAGTCATCTGCGTTGATGCGCACAATCCATGGTTTCTTCAGACTCCTCTTTGCTCGGTTTGGCCTTTACTACAGCCTTTTGGACGTCCTGTGGTTTCCTCCTGTGATGTTTTTCTTCCTGGCGTTAGAGATTAACTGAGGATCAAACGAAACAAACCTCGCCATGTAAGATTGCACTGCCTGAGCAAAGCCAGGCTTGTACGAGAAGAGCAGCCCACGGAAGAGCTTCCCATCGATGGAGGCTTCTAGCGTGTATCCGTAGTTGAATACGTCGCTTACTCTAGCCTCGAACATCTTCTTGCCTAGCGGCTGAACGTGAGCTTGAAACTCTGTAGCATGAGTTTGACAGGGAAAAATTGGAGAGGTCCAAGGTTTTCCGCAGATACCTCCGAGAGATGAAACCAAGCTCTTGTCCGCATCCCGTTGCTTGTCTAGCACGAATGGCATGGCACGATACTCTTGCCGCCTTCTCTTAAGTTCCTTACGCATGGATAGCTTTGGTTCTGATGGATCTTTCTCCCTCAGCATCTCTTCACAGAAAAACGCCAACCATATTGTCAAGAATGGCAGCAATGTCAATAAAAGAAGGAAATACATGTCATCCAGAGCTTCAAGCTCTTTGTTACATCCCCCATAGAAGAATAATATGCCTCGCTCTGCGTTCACGGAATCTCCTGCAAGGGAGAAACGCGGAGAAGGCCCGGGACCAGAGGGATTCGAAGTCGCCCAAACACCAGTCTCTACAAAATACGTAAAAGCCCCATGAGAGACCAACAGGAAACAAATCTACCTACAAGCGCACGTACATAAGTCGAGAGTATGGACGTCATTGAATAGCTTGCGATCATCGGAGAATCCTCCAAACACGACGAGATACTTTCCATGGCTGATTGTTGTGTGCTCGGCTCTTGGCATCAGCTCGGCACCAGTCGTCTTTACCTCCCGCCATGCCATTGTTTCTGGAAACGCAAATGAATTCGCAAGTTTAAAACCAGCACAATGTATGTACCTGTGTCCAGAATATGAACGTCGTTTAGATAGGCATTACCACCGTCCTCGCCACCCATGACAATGAAACAGTTCTTATAGGAAGAGCAGGTATGGCTATCCCGAGGAATAGGTGAGACTCCAGTGATAGAAATCTTCTTCCAGACAAAAGTATCTACAGGAAAAAAAAAGTTTAGAAGAAAACAAGGAAAGATAACAGGATATTACTCGCGTTCAAAACATGGAGGTCGTTGTAGTACTCCTCCTCTGAGGGATCGCTGGATTTCCCACATCCCCCGAACACGAACAGGTTGTCACCGATGAGAAGCGCGCTATGTCCTTCTTTCGGAGCAGGAACATCACCAAAAACGTCGGGTTTCCCCCAGGTGTTGGTAGCTGCATCGGATGATAAGAACAAGAAAAAAAATCGATAGAACTCGGAGCTTACCAGTATCCAAAACAAAGAGATCGTTTGGCGGGTTGCTTCCATCGGTACCACCAAACACATAGAGCTTAGACCCGACGGCCATGGAGCTGTGGCTGTCCCGAGGAGAAGGGTGCGTTCCTTTCATCACAGGCTTGCTCCAGGTGTGCGTCCCTGCGCGATCCCACCAAAAACATGATCAAAACCATATTTTCCGGAAAACCCAGAAGAGGAAACTTATACCAATGTCGAAGACGTGAACATCGTTGGTCTGGCACTCGTCCCGGCCGCAGCCACCGAAAATGTAGATGAGATTCCTGACCGCATTGCAGGTGTGGCCCCATTTGCACCCCGGCAGCTGCTGCTGGAGCTGATCGCTGGATCGACGAAGCGCTCACTTCATCTTTACCCTAAAATACAAGTGTAAACGAGAGACTACAGGGTTTATAGCGCTGCAAAATAGAAATCCCTCTCAATGCATTAAAAACGCAAAACTGAAGAACAAGGAAGCGAACCGTGGACGAAAATTTCAATTTTTTCTCTTGGTTCCAGCCTCGAGCACCTGGAACAAACAGGAATTTTAAGCCTCAAAAGAGAATAGCGAAGAGCAAGAGAGTGAAAACCTTGATTCTAGTCGTGGTTCCAGCCTCGAGAACCTGGAACAAACAGGGACTTGAGAGATTCGAAAAAAGAATAGCGACGAGCAAGAGAGTGAAGAACCTTGATTCTAGTCGTCGATGACAACGTGAATCCCCTCGTTGTCCGAGACGTCGTCCCTGTCGTGAGCTCCATCCACCATAGCCTCTTCGCCTTTCACTCCCAATCCTCGTCGCATTTCCGAGCAGAGCACGTCAATCTACCGAATGCACCTGCGCAGGCGGATGCCGGCGGATTTGTTCCCTGCGTAAGTCTGGAAGGCGTCGAGCCTGTTCTCGCTGATCATCAAGCACAACTATGGCGGCACAGAGAAAGCCGTGAGCCTCTCAAACCTTTGCAAACGGAGAAACAAACACAACCTCGTTGTAATAGGCTGGGACTTTCAGCCGCTTAGGATCGTTATCCAGTGCCCTTCCCAGGACTTCTTCCGGAGCTGTCCAAAAACGAAAGCGTTAGAGTTTTTTCTAGTGTCTAAATCGAAGGAACCCACTTAAAGGTGTTGGATAAGGAACAAATGTAGGTTGCGGCTTTTGGTAGGAAGTTTTTGGTCCCTCGCCAGGCTCAACGCCGCCATTGCTGCGATTGGCCGGAATATCTTGGTCATCCTGGAACATCTCAAGTTAGAATCGCAGGGACGGGGTCGAGACTCTTTTACCAGATGATATTCTGCGTTGAGTACTTCTCCCATAAGTGCGACTCGTTTCTTCACGAACTCAATAATTCTCCTGTTGAAGAACGCTTTGGCGTCGGTTAAATGATTGTCATCGTGGCCATTAACCACGGTATCCTGAGCTTTTGAACTCGAGAATGAACCAACCGGTGGCAGCTTCAGTTCTTCACGTACAGCTGACTCTAGCCTTCTAAATCATTCCATGGTTCTTTGAATGGTCCACCAGGAAAGTATGATCCGAAATCTAGACCTCAACACAGAGAGAGAGAGAGAGAGAGAGAGAGAGTACCTTCCTGCTAGCAATGATCGACGCTCTCTCCTCGTGGTCACGCGCCCTAAAAGACATTTGAAATATTTTATGGTCCCAAAGTTTACATTGTTTAATTTCAACTGTTAGATTTTGGCATATGCCCAGAATAAGTGTCCCCAGTATATACTATTATTATACTGGCTCTTTAGAACTTAGCTCCATAAAAAGATGGTAGCTAAGATAAATACTAAGGCATAAGCCATGGGTTCTGTCCCTTTGTGAACGCTTTGTCTATAAAGGGACCATGAACCAGGAATGGAAGTTTTCATTAAGGACATCAAAGCAGCGGAGACCTGTGTGGGCACTGTTCAAGAAAATCTATATTGGAAAGCAATCGATGTTGGCTCGTACCTTGGGGAGAAGCTCTACCACGTTCACTGCAAAGATTCCAGCAAGCAGTCTTAGTTCTTCGTCCTCCCAGAGATTGCCTTGTAGAACTGTCCGAATCCGTCTGTGATTATAATGCAAAATTTGCAATCAGGTAGGCTCGAGTATCTGCACAACCACCATGAGATCACCGAAAGACACAAGCAAAGGGGAAGTGCATTGGCAGGATTATCTTGAACATGGCATGAAACTCTGCCAGTGCACCTGGGAGCCGAGTTGACCATTTATGTGATAAATGTTTTTTCATGCAATGTGATCGACATTGTTGGAGGTGAGTTAGACAGCTTGGGACATCTCTCAACCTCACTGTATTTATTTGAGAGTAAGGCTGAACCTCTAGCCACGCCCTCTTTATTTGATGGCAAGGCTTATAGGGTGCCAGCTTCCACATTCTGAGGTGTCACACAGCAGCATCTTCCCACTAAAATCACTGTAGCTGATAACTCTGAGTGTATTTTGTCATGCCGTTTTCTAAAGATGAAGGATGACATCCAGACAATTAACTGGTAGAAAGAATCAAGCCAATTAGACATGCTCAAGTGAGTTATAGCTCTTTAGAGCCCCTGGTACAGATCCAAGTGTATTGCATTGAAGATTCAGCCCTAGACTTGGACTCAACTGCAGTGGAGGATCTTCCTTTATTAGCAGAGTACTTGGCTTCAGTCCTCACATTGAACATTGAGTGGTCAAAGCACTAGAAGCAAAAAGAGCAAGAGACAAAGGCCTTGGATTCAACAGCAACATCCTTGCCCAAATTGCCAAAGACAAGCTTGCTGGATATGGTGTTCCTAGCATCTTTATTTGAGGATGAGGACACTCCTATGGTTACAACCCATTATGAGAGTGAGAAGGAGTATGTGGATGTGGAAAATGAAGCAATGGCTGTTGTTCATACTTTGGAGCAATTTTGTCACTTTCTCGCTAGAGCTTGTATTCATTTCCATGTTTGTTTTAACATGCTGACCTTTCTTTCACAGTGATTGGTTCACAATCCTCATACTTTATCTTGGATTGTGACCATCCAAGAGTTCCAGCCAACTTTTCACATGCGGTGGAAGCGTGTGATGGATCCGAGTTGCTGAAGCTACTGTGATCCCAGCAACATTATAGGACATTGCAGTGTACTTGGATTCAAGCAAGTTCCCAATAGATTCCTCACCAGTGCAACAAAAGGCATTGGAGATCCGAGCACGGGGGTTTTGCCTTCTTGACAAACACCTTTATAGGAGGACTTCTCAAGACATTTTATTATTGTGTGTGGGTGAACATGAGGTCCCTGAGCTCCTTCGTGCTTTCACTCTTGTGTGGGGCATTTCTCGGGATGGGTCACAGCACAGCTCCTCTTACACCATGGCTACTTTTAGCCTCAGATTCACCAGGACAGCTCGGACTATGCAAAGGCATGTGGGTAGTGCCAATGGTTCAACCCCCAAAGCCATGTTCCACGTCTTCCTTTCTAGCTTGTCACTTCTCTGGGTCCCTTTTTTTAGTGGGGACTTGACTTTGTTGGCCTGATCAACCCACCAAGCTCAAAAGGACATTGATACATCATTGTGGCGACAGACTATTTCACGAAATGGGTTGAAACCATCCCTCTATGATAGATAGATCAATAGTCTATAGTGAAGTTTGTCTACGAGTACAGCGTTTGCCAGTTTGGAGTTCTTGTAGTTTTGATTTCCAATTGTGGCAACGACTTCCTTGGACAAGTGATGCAACATCTTCTCCAGCAGCTGCAGGTCAAGCACATGAAGAGCAGTAGCTACTATCCTAAGTGCAATGGCCAAACAGAGTCTAGCAACAAGATATTGAAGACAATCATCTCAAAACTTATGGAAGATCACCCAAGGCATTGGTACGAACACTTGGTTATGGTGTTGTGGGCCTTTTGGACATCCTTCAAGACATCCATCTGCAACCCCATTCTCTCTTGTCTATGGGATAGAGGTCGTGCTTCCAATGGAGATTCAGGTGCTATCACTCTCACTTTCGCTTCGATATGCAACAGCAATGCAGCTTAGTGATGAGGACAAGCTTCATGTACATGACTTGGAGGTTCTTGCCTTGGAAGAACAGTGACAAGCCATGATTGAACATCTCCTTTGAGGCAAGCAGAAAATCAAATCAGTCATTGATCACTAGTGGTTTGCTGAACCATTCAAGGATGGCAATCTTGTTCTTCTCAAAGAGTTCACGCCACCTTTGAAGTTCTCTCTTTGCTGGACCGGCCCCTACTTTGTTTAGCAACACATTAGAGGTGGAGCATACATGCTAGTAGGTGTTGATGGATGTGAGCTCCCACACGCTCACAACCACTCTCACATCAAACACTTCATCTAGTGAGGCATTCCTCTTTTCTTCTTTTTCGTTTACTTCCTTTCTTTCACTTTACTTTCATGGCTTCTTTTCTTACTTTTAGAGGGTTTTTCTCCACTAGACCATGGCTCTTGCCTTGGATTTTATGCTCAGGCAATCCATGGAGCATACTTGAAGTCATCACAAGGCTACATTTGCATATTACACTTTCTTGAGCTAAAATCCTGGTATGGGTTAAGTTCTTTGGGTATTCACTTTTTTTCTTCTATTTTTCTTTTTTTTTTCACACTTTTCTACATTTTTTTTTTCCATCATAGTTTAGTTTCACTATAGGGTTTCCCACCAGGTTTTCCTCCTTGTTTTCAAATTTCACACCTACCTCTTTTCTTTCTTTTTCCACTTTGTTTTCCTAAGTTTCTACTATTTCATGCAGTTACCAGCACTTGGCATCAGCAACATAGGTACACTCTACACTCTTTGGAACATTCTCATGCATCTTGAGTTAGCGTAATCCACCATAGTTACATGTTAGGGCGTGGCCACATAAGGAGTGTGTGAGAGAGAGTATAAAACCCTTCCCCACAAGAGCAAAAGTGGGGGGTATTTGTGAAAAACATTGGAGCATTTCTTGTGTTTGAGCAAGCGTTGGGGAGATGCCCCTCCTTCCCCCAATAAAGCTAGAGGTTTAGTCAAAGTTGAGTTTAAAAAGAGAGTTTACAGGGACTAAGGATCAAACATGTAAATCATATTTTCTTCTTCAAAAGATGATTTAGCAATGAGGTGTGATTTCATTGCTTATGTTCATATTATGTAATCAAGAGTCCTTATCTTGATGCATGTTGATAATGATGATTTTACAAGTGGTGAGTTATGGGATGGATAATGGTGAAGCGCTAAACCATTTTGTCTAGGCTTGCTATTAAGCATTAGGTTACAATGCTTAATTATTTTTTGGGGAACCTTGCTATTGCTCCATGAATAACTTGGTGTTGGATTAGTTTTGAGTTTAGTCAAAAAAAGAGTGGTATGAGGTTGTTTATATTGTGAACAAAGTTAATGGTGTTGAGTGTTAAAAATCTCTATCAGTAGAGTGTGGTATTTATGTTACATTTTGTCAAATTAAGTTAGTGCTTGATACTCACATAAACTTTTAAAGTAATAATATGGGTTTGTTCATGGTGTTGCTTTGATTGATAATTAAATTGTTATGATTTTTATATCATATCCATGGGATAGTGAGTAATGGGTTTACGAAGTTACTTGGTCAAATGATGATTAACCTTAAAAGTGGTTGACAGTGAAGCTAGTGTACTTGCACATAGTAGATTTGACTAAGTTCTCAATGATAATCCATTATGTTAAGCTTAAGTTGGTATCTTGCTCCTTAAAAATTTGCCCATTAGGTTTTGAAAAGGGTTGGATTGTTGATTTATTCATTAGCACTTGAAGTAGATTATTAGATAGTGAAAATGTGAAGTTAAGGCATTGACATTACTAGCACTTGTGTTAGTGAAAGTGGCATTGTTGTTT